TTTTTCGGTTTTGGAAGCTGATTTATGTGGCTAAAATTAGCGCAGGCAATGAGGAGGAAAAGAAGAAACATTGAGGTAGCTTTCTGCATCCGGGCGTTTTTTCTATCATCCCCTCCCCCGCCACTTGCCTGGTTTTTCTCCAATGTGGGCTGCGCAGCCTGATTGCAAGGCAGAAGACTTTGTAGTGTGATAGAGCAACCCCCGTTGGGTTTGGGAGATGGAGGCGCATTGTACTTTTTAATTTCAGGCAGGGACATCGGGATAAATATTACATGCTATGTACAGGTAAAGTGATTGTGATAATCTGATATGCCTTCTTGACCTGCAGGTGCTCTTTGGGACTCTTCTCCAAACCTTCCCTAACTTTCGTCGCGTTACAGCTTCTGGAAGCAACTTGGGCCTTATGTCAGCAGTAAAAACCCCTTACGGTCCTTTTCTTACGAGGAAGCAAGACATTAGGGCTGTTCCATTCCCCCAGGAATTGCACACAAGAGTTTTTGGCTCAAAGGGGAAGCTAGCCCTATCACCCACCCAGTAAAGGATCCTTCACAAATTATTTGTTATGCTCCCTGGACCTTGGATGACTGCTTTAAAAGTTTCCCCCAATTTTGTGGTCATAGCGATCCTACTCTCTTATAATATTTTCAAATGACAACTGACTCTCATTGACTGGTCATGTACTCTGTACCTGGCAATGTGTTACACGCTCTGACTTTATTCTCTTAATCCTCACACGGTTGCGATCGCATTCTACAGAGGAAAGATCTGAAGCACCCAGAGATTAAGTATTCCCGAAGGTTTCCTGTGGCTGGTGTGTGGCAAAGCTGAGATTCTATCTCTGGTTTCTCAACTTCTCGTACAGTTCTATTCAACAGAATTAAGCAAGCATGCCCTGTGTGCCTCGCACTGTTAGGTGTTGGAAAACAAGAAAAAAAACATTGTGGCCCTCACAGTCAGAGTCCTAGTGATGCCAGAAAGGTAACCCGCAGAGCAAAATGACTACCGTTTTATTCAGAACTCTCTTACGAAGCTCTGTTCCAGTAGCTCTGCCTAAGAGGGACAGGGACAGACTCTGAAATGGCCCTGTTCCTACCGCTAGTTAAAATTCCCATGTATTTCTTCCAAACTGAGCACTTCCCATTTCAATCATTTACGTGCATTCACCCAGAATATTTCGACTAATCCCCCCTGTTCTTCTCCGGCTCATTGTTTGGTGTGAAATGTTTCACCTCTGTGATAATTTGTAAGCTCTTAGAACCATTACTCAGATCTCATGGCTCCTGCAGTTGGGTTTTCACCAGTTTATAGGCCTCCCGGCTGCTCCTTAGGTGCCCAGGCTGTGACTGTCTTTGCGGTTGTGATGCAGGAAGACAAGCTCTGCTTTCTGAGTTGTGAGATTCGATTCTGGTTCTGGGCAGAAGCCTTAATCTTGCTGTTTACAGAAAAGAGGGTTAGGGTAAGTGATTTCTAAAGCCCCTTCTTGCGGAACCGTTGGTGTTACCAAAGCAATCATGTACCCTGACTGCTCACATAACTCAAATAAGGCCCGGCCTGATTTCTTAGCTACCATCCAAAAGAATAGATGTGCTCATGCCTTGAGAGGGCAGGGTTTCTGGAGATCTTAAATTATCTTCATAGCTACAGTGTATCGAAAACCTGCAACATTGTAGGAAATCTTGGGGAACAGATGGTCTGGTTTTTAAAAATTTGTGAAGGGCCCTGTGGAATATCAGGCAGGTTGCACAGAAGAAGAAAAAAAGAAACTGACAACCAAGAGAGGAAAAGCATCTAGCCCAGGGCCCATGAGTAGGGTTGAGATTCTTGGAAACCTAGAATCTTTTCTGGTAAGCCCTGGCCTTAGCGATTACCCCTCTTTTTCCTCTCCAGATCCCAGCCTCCTGTCCCGATGTCTTATTTGCAGTCTATTTTATTGTCCTCTTTTTCTGCTCTGGTGCTTTCCATCACTTCTTACTGATGGGAGCTGACAGGTCTCAGGGTTCCATGGAGAGACAGTGCTAGGCTCCCTCTCTTTCCCTTTGATTTCCTTAGCCTTGTCTTGCCTCCTGTCTGTCCTCATTGTTGGGCCTTCACCGGTCTCTCCCTGAACCTCTTGCTACTTTTTCTTTAAAATTTCTGATTCATGGGGCGCCTGGGTGGCGCAGTCGGTTAAGCGTCCGACTTCAGCCAGGTCACGATCTCGCGGTCTGTGAGTTCGAGCCCCGCGTCAGGCTCTGGGCTGATGGCTCGGAGCCTGGAGCCTGTTTCCAATTCTGTGTCTCCCTCTCTCTCTGCCCCTCCCCCGTTCATGCTCTGTCTCTCTCTGTCCCAAAAATAAATAAAAACGTTGAAAAAAAAATTTTTTTTTAAATTTCTGATTCATGTATTTTTCTTTCCTCTGGTTTTTATTTTTAAATTTTTTAGTGGAACTGTATCCTTCTGGTCTTCCTGGTACTACCAGATTCTTTTTCTCCAGAAACACAGAATGATGTTTTTCACTATTTTTTTTTTTAACGTTTATTCAGTTTTTGAGAGACAGAAAGCATGAGCAGGGGAGGGGCAGAGAGAGAGAGGGAGTCACAGAATCCAAAGCAGGCTCCAAGCTCTAAGCTGTCAGCACAGAACCGGACACAGGGCTTGAACTCACGAGCAGTGAGATCATGACCCGAGCGGAAGTTGGAAGCTTAACCGACCGAGCCACCCAGATGCCCGTTTTTCACTATTTTTTTAAAAGTTTATTTATTAATTTTGAGAGAGTACCAGCAGTGGAAGGACAGACAGAGAGAGAGAGAGAGAGAGAGAGAGAGAGAGAGAGAGAGAGAAAATCCCAAGTAGGCTCCTCCCCATCAGTGCAGAGGCCCATGTGGGGCTCGAACCCATGAGCCTTGAGATCATGACCCAAGCCAAAACCAAGAGTCAGAGACTCAACTGACTGAGCCACCCAGGTGTTTTTCACTACTTTAATGTGTTCCTTTTCATTTAATAGCTTCAGGCACCAAGTCCCTCCCTTTAAGTCAGTCCTTGTATTTAGAAACAAATCTTCACATATTTGATGGATTACTCATTTATTGTATCAGTACCACGACTGTAAAAGGGGTGTTGGAAAGTTCTCTTCCTTTAAAAGTCACTGGAATACTGTGGCTGAGAGGAGTGACCTTTGATCACACAGCTCCTAGGGATTCTGTTACTTCTACTTCTAGAACTTTTCTGTACTTGCCATATCATTAGTCAGGAATGATTGTATTTTTTAAAGTAAAAATCTAAAGCGACGGCTCTACAATAGATTTTAAATATTTGTAATTTCAATTAAATCATACAACAGATGTAAATACTAAATAGGGGCGCCTGGGTGGCTTAGTCGGTTAGGTGTCCAACTCTTGATAGCGGCTCAGGTCGTGATCTTGAGGTCGTGGAGATTGGGCCGTGTTGGGTTCTGCCGTGGGATTCTCTCCCTCTCTCTCTGCCCCTCACCTGCTCATGAGCCTGCGTGTGTGTGCTCTCTCTCTCTCTCTCTCTCTCTCAAAATAAATAAATAAGCATTAAAAAATTGTAAATATATTCTTGTAATTACATAAACTTAAATATATTATTTAAATTGCTATTTAAAATTTTATGCATAGAGTCTTTAATTTTTATATATCTTCATTTTTTTTCTCTTCATTACAGGACCATGTGATCTTTATAAAATTTGAAGTACTCTAGAAATATTTGATGTGGACGTTGAAAAATCCCGTAAAATACTAACAATCAACATTGATAAATGGGTTATTGTAGTGACTTCCTATTACAGGATATCTTACTATAAGAACTATTTAGTACTTCTTTGGTAGAATAAAACCATGCCTCGAACGTGTTTTTTGGCAGTCCTTCTTGAAAATTTTGACAGAGTATAACACTTAAAGCACATTACCTATACCTTGAATAAATGGCATTCATAGGAAAGAATAAAACTAATAGTTACTCAGGGCCATCTGAAGAATGAGCAGTCCTCTCACTGCTCTTATTAAATACCAGGAAGTAGGGGCGCCTGGGTGGCGCAGTCGGTTAAGCGTCCGACTTCAGCCAGGTCACGATCTCGCGGTCCGTGAGTTCGAGCCCCGCGTCGGGCTCTGGGCTGATGGCTCGGAGCCTGGAGCCTGTTTCCGATTCTGTGTCTCCCTCTCTCTCTGCCCCTCCCCCATTCATGCTCTGTCTCTCTCTGTCCCAAAAATAAGTAAATGTTGAAAAAAAAATAAATAAATAAGTAAATAAATACCAGGAAGTATAGATCCTGTGCCTGACAGGTAACGTGTAATCACTTCAAATCAAGGTCCTCTTTACTTTCCATCACGTGCCTCTGTTCTCTTCTTACTGTAGTAAAATGAACTATAACCTCACTGAGGAAGCCCACGCCCCCATAGGTTTTTGTAAGAGGTAAGGGGGAATAAGAAATGGGAACGTTTTAATGGGTCTAGACAAACTCACTTCAAATAGGAGAACTGTAGGATGTGGAAGAAAAAAGACTAGATTCTGTTCTTTATTCTCTCCTCCCCACCAGGTGATTGTGGAGAAGGCTCCTAAGGCCAGGGTGCCCGATCTGGACAAGAGGAAGTACCTAGTGCCCTCTGACCTCACCGGTAATGCCTTTTCCCTCTCCACATGCTCCTTTCCTATGGCCTTTTTGGTCCCGCCTGCATGCCTGAGATTGTGGGGTTGAGAGAGGGTAGAGTTGAAGAAGGCGGGTGGGATTCTCCAGATAGTTGGGGAACTCAAACAGGAGTCGTTGCTGGTTCCCTTACACATGTCCCGTCACGTGTCTTGTGTGATTTAGACACAGCAGAAGGCATGACATTGAAAGCAAAGACCAGATGCCTCTCACTTAAACCACTTATAGTCAGCTTTGTTCTTGTGCTATTCCATTTATTCCAAAAGGAAAATCAGAGGGAAGATCACATTTTAGAGAGTCTCAGCTGAAGACTTGGTCTCTTCCAGCTACGGTTTTTGGTAATACGTTTTGTAGACCCTGGGATTACAAAGAATGTATTAATTCTTCACCCTAATGATCCTTAATGGAAGAACCAGTGAATCCAGGAAACACTGGGAACATTTTGTAGGTGCGTTTGCCAGCCTTCTAGAACTTTTTCGGTATGTTTAATAGAAGGTACAGCATTGAACCCCACTTGTTACCCCAACTTTGGGCTGAGTGATCATACTGAGATTACTGGAGTCCAGTAGACCTCTCCCCCAGCACTGGTTTGTCACAGGGTGCAACTGGGATGGAAGTGTGTTCCAGATTCCGTTTAGACAATGATAGACTATTTCAGTCTAGATGTACATAGCATTCCCTGAAAGTCGTCCTCCGGCTTTGAAGGAAGATGCTGACATTACGTCTGAAATCAAGTAAAGCATCTGGAATTGAGTAAAGAGGGGAAGGGTTGAATAAGCTTCTCTGTGACCTGTCGGGGAATATGGAGGCTCCTTCGAGTTGCATTTTCTATTTCTAAAACTGTAGGACAGTATTTGGTTCTGCTGAGATTTGATCTAAAGCTGGTACTTAAAGGGAACCGATGCAGAATTTTTTTTTTTTTTCCTGGGAATTACCCTTCTCGTAATCCCTTATTTCCCCTAATTGCCTTCTTTCCTTCTTCCTTTATCTAGTTGGCCAGTTCTACTTCTTAATCCGGAAGAGGATCCACCTGAGGCCTGAGGACGCCTTATTCTTCTTTGTCAACAACACTATCCCTCCCACCAGCGCCACCATGGGCCAGCTGTATGAGGTAAGCGTCCCGGTCACAACAATACTGTGCAGTCTGCTGCTTTCTAGCCTTTGTTCCAGTGTCCGCTGATAACACACCCGGGAAGTGGGGCAAGAGGTGTTACTTACCTGTATCGCCTTACACACAGCGGTGTAAGGCACTGGGAGATTCGATGTCCCTTGTCCTTTAGGGATTGAGCAGCCTACTAGATTCATTGTCGTTGAATTCTCAGTTTTGCCTGATTCTGGTGTGGTCGTCTTGGATCGTCTCTATTGAAACCGCAAGCAGTGGCTTCTGATTGCAAATTCCAAGTGAAATTCAAAATTCTAAGGCAAAGCCTTTAAATCATTCATTCGTCTTAACAGATAAACTCGGTTGGAGGGAACAATTTACGTGATTCCGTTTGCTTGAATTGGTAAAGTGTCAGAATCTAATGAGAAACCTGTAGAAAAACACTTTGTCCTGCTGTATCACCCAGTTATGTACCTGTATTCCCTAAATGATTTCATATGGTACTGCCTCCTTTCTGTGCTCGGTTAGCGAGTTGTGTAAACTCCAACAATCTCTTAATCTCATTTTTATCCCGGAGCATATATTCCCTGTTAGCGTATATTCTGGTGTATGTATATTTTTGTATCTGTGTTTCCCTGGCTAGAGTAAGCTCTCTTAAGGGTCGTGTTCTTATCCCGATACTTCTACGTGTCGATGCTCTCCCTGAAGGCTTTTTGTGAACTCAGACGCCGAATTCCAGTCACTTTTGTTTGTTCTTTATTCTTCTTTTCGTGGAGTCTGACGACGCCTCCCGTACCTCCCTTACCAGGGTATGTGAGGCTCAGAATCCTAAGTAACGAATGTGATGTTTTCCAACAGTCCTCTTGTCTCTTCCCTCAGGACAACCACGAGGAAGACTATTTTCTGTACGTGGCCTACAGTGACGAGAGTGTCTATGGGAAGTGAGTGGCGGAAGCCGGCAGATGGGAGCACGCGGACTCGGGGGTAGGGGGAGGGGCGTGTGTGGGACTTGGGGCAGGAGAGGGAGGGCTCCCACGGTGGAGGAGACAGAAGGGGAAGACCTCTGGAAACACTACACCACGCACACCGTCATCGTATTTTCACATGCCCAATTGATATTTTTTCGCTGCTTCCTCGGCCCAGGGGGAAAGCATGTCAGGACAGAGCTGTTGGCTTGGCTTGGATAGAAGAACGGAGATGATTTAATTTTCACATTTCGGAATAAGCTTTCGTGTCACCTCGCAGAAGAGGCAGGAGGCGGGCAAGTTGGGGCCAGAGATGATTGGGGACCACCAGTGACTTCCTGCTCTCCCTCCTCTTTGGGCAGAGGTTCTATTTTTGACACTTGCACAAGATAGGTAGAGAAAGGGGCTGCGGATGTTTTAGGACTTCTGGTAGTAGGTCATTCCTAGGGACCAAAAGAGACCCATTGTAGTTAAAACATTGTGACCCTGATCTCCCGTCTCCACACCTCCCCCATCCCAGTCGTTATCCCACAGGGTGCTGATAGACATGGGGCAGACATTTAGATGGCACGTTCTCACCACTGGAAAACGGGGGCCAGCCATGAGGGACGTTATGGTTATGAATATGGTTTCGATAGCATTAAACTGGAATTGACGAAGTTGGGCATCTCTGTCTAACCTGCTCTCTCTCTGGTGCCCCTTATCCCATACCTACCTTGGACATTAATGAGCCACAACCATTTCCAGTTACGGGCTAGAACCACTCCTTCAGCGTCTCCCAAACTTGGCTCCACGTTTAGGGGACAGAGTTGTCTTTAGGATAGAAGGGGCAGGTATGAGGTGAGACCGATGGGCCACACCTCCCACTCAGCCAGGATTCTTGCTCCCTTGTTGCTGTCCCTTTAGTCCCATGCACACCGAAACGCTAAGTGATGGCCAGCTGCTTCCTTACTTTGGTTTTCGTTGACTGCAGCTGCTAGTTAGGAAAGTTTGAGGGGATGATTTAGTAATTCATGGGGATTCTATTGATTCTGAGTATTTTCACTTCGGGGATTATATGGGTGGGGGTGGGGAGCAGGAGTGGCACCCAGTCATGACATTTCAGTTCATCTCTGCTAATGCAAAGGGTCCTTCCTGTGGGTGAAATCTGTATCAGTTCTGTCAGCTGCAGATTCTTGTGTAATGAAGTTTATGCTGTCAGGCCAAGGAAATAAAATAACTGCATACCTTGAAAACCAACCACGAGTTCAGAAGTGTTGCTTTTATTAGACAAGTGTGTATTAGAATAGATGGCGTGTGGTCTGTGAGCAGGAAAGTCTGAGTGAGGGCGGCTGCTGGAAATGAATGCTCCCAGGGGCGCCTGCGTGGGTCCGTCGGTTGAGCTTCTGACTTCCGCTCAGCTCATGATCACCCGGTTCGTGGGTTCGAGCCCCACATCACGCTCTGCGCTGACAGCTCAGAGCCTGGAGCCTGCTGCAGATTCTGGGTTTCGCTCTCTCTCTGCCCCTCCTCCACTCGCTTTCTCTCTTTCTGTCTCTCTCAAAATGAATAAACGTTAAAAACAT